AAGCATCCAGCGATGGGAACAACACCTAACACTACACCAACACCAACATGAACACCACAAAAGGACAAGCGCTCTGATCACGACCCTCAGACTAATTCCTCCAGGCCGAGAAGGAGCCGCAACCTCAGTGTCTTCGCCGCACCTGCCGTTGGACACGCTGATCTATGGGATGAAGCGACCTGCCGAGCACTCGGATTGGTCGCCATAAGGAACGCATACAGGAAGCATTTGATGTTCCGAAACAATCCGAAACAAACTGTGACTGGAGGGTGACAAAATCACCAACAAGGCCAGCTTCAATGCGCCTGTGCAGAAGTGCATTTGTGACCTGGATGGAGAATGAGGTTTGGAAAAACAAACGGGGGAACAAACGGATGCTTTTCCAAGAACACATCAAAGGTGGAGGGTCAACACTTTATTGCTGCCATCTGAGTGTTTGTTGCTTTACCCTGTACGCCATTTTGGTCAAAATGGGTGCAATCTAAAAAGCTCCGAAAAGAACCAAGCCTGACCTCGAAAATGAAAGGTCAAATGTGATCCTCTCCTCATTGAGCAAGGAAGTATGACAGACCTTTGTTTGAAGCTCCATGTGGCCGTGTTGTCCAAGGCTGAGGCATGTTTGAGCCTTGAAGCTTCTGAAAGCAGTCGTTCTCAGTCGGGAAGTCTGGAAAGTTGATGTGGTGAGATGATATTAATCGCGCTGGGGTGGTGCGGAAAAATGCAAGCCTCAGTTTCTGTGTGGCATGTCAATCAAGTTCAACTGATTGCTTCAACGATGCTGTGGTTGTTGGATGCTATTTGATGCTTATATATCAATCAAGAACTCCGAACAGAAGGGTTCGAGAAGCTGCAGACCTTTTTCTGACTATATAAGTTTATTGGTCAATGTATCTACCGCACCAAGGACCACTTGCTGCAGTCTATATAGTAGAAGAAAGACGAAACCTTTGCTCCTCCCACAAAAACCAGTGTCTTCTGTGGAAGGCGCAATGGCCATGCTTCAAAACTTTTTGCATGGTGATTGGTAAGGCGACCTCAGTCTGCTGTCGATGCTCCCCGGCAAAGTGCTTCAACAGGCCACGGGACTGCAGGGGACATGAGGGGACGTGCGGTGGCATGGTCGCAACTTACCACTTACGCCTTACGTAACATCGTCCCTTAAGATTCGGGTCCCTGAGCCTAAGCAAGCCTGAGCTTCGCGATCCTGGTCGTCAGCAATTGCAGAAGTTGATGGCCAGAACATGGGATTGAAGGTTGAACATCACCTCATGTTTCCCTATCGTTTCCCTATCTCTATCACTCCAGTCATTCTTGTGTAGATTGCGCATGGAGCATTCCAGATGCCATAGGAATATACAGTAGCTTGATTTATCCTCAAGCTCCTTGAGTAATATTGCCCAAAAAACAACATGGGTATACTTTATGAAGAACTACACAACAACCCCTCCTATGCAAAACGGTCCCTTGGTTTTCATACTCGCCAGCAGATTGCATGTCCATGTTCTTGAGTTGGGTTACCAAGGAGATACCTGGTTTGTTGACCTACGTAGGATCTACAGTGACTACTTCAAGGTCAGCTTAAACAAGTGTACCTCTTCTATTTTTTGACCATTGAGATCTCAGTTGCCAGGGCACCTCCTTGCTGCTAGGTGACTGCACCAGTTTTGGCTGAGATGCTGCACAAGTCCTGCGCACAACGTCTCATTCTCCAAGCTGGCCGACCACTCCAAGTGGCCTTGCGGAAGGGCTATTTGAACAGTGCATCTCTTCCAGAGGCAGGTCCTCGGAGTCCTGCAATGCCTACGCAGCAGCCGAAGCGACCACAAAGACGCCCACCCAAGCTTTGGACGTGCCTAGGGGCCATAGACTGCACTTGTCCAGATCTGGTCCTACAAGCACTCCTACACCGCACAGGATAGACATTCTAAGACAGTGTAGTCAATCACCATCAACGCTCTTTTTGACAACCGCTTCCATGAATTTGAACAGTAGGTCGAAGCAATCACACTTAGAATCAGTCAGCCAGATTCTGGGAATTGATTGACCCGACAGACTCCAATGGTAAACAGAACAAATGATGAACATTTGTCCCGATCGCCATCGTCTTCTTTGGAGGTGACCCTCACACCGCCGGACCTGGTGGAGATGCTGAAGCAGCTCGACGTCAACGTGCCAACTGGCTCCACGATGGTCCAGATTCCCAACAGTTGGCACCGTTTGAGTTGCAGCTACCGTGGCGGAGAACTGGATGTGCTAGTTCTCCATTTGACCCGGATCCTGCCAGGCGATATTGTGCAGATGTGACAATGAAGCAGGGGTTGTCGGTGTTGCTTCAATATAGACCCGGATACCACCATCCAGGTTGTTGCCCACTGTGCACCCTTTGTCGCTACAGCACTTCTGAAGCACCATGAACCTTTCCTGACAGGCATCGCATTGCCTGTGGCCCAGCAAGCTAAGACGGGCTCCAGCCTGTTCTTGGGCCCCGCTTGCAGTGGCAAGTCAACAGTGCTGCGTGATGTTGCGGTTGGCCTGTCAAAAACAGAGCAGGCATGGCATGGTCCTTTCCAACAGTTGCAGGTAGCATACCCAGAATACACTTGACACCGGCTGTTGATCCCCTTCTTCTGTGGTTTTTTTTCCAGTTTAGCTCTCTTTTACCATGTCCTGCTTTTGCTGCTTCGGATGGACCGCATTTGGAAGGTCGTCTACATCAACTTCTGGAATGAGCTCGGCGCGGGCCTCTTGGGTTTGGCGCGAGTCGTCACGCCTGGCGACAAGGTGGGGCAGTGGAATTGGCTTGTACTCAGTACTCGTGTGAAACACAGCTCCAAAGATCATAGTTATCTAACTCTACTCATATACGTCCCAGAAGACACTCCCAGTGCATTTAGTTTGTTGCACTTTTTGCACTTTATCAGTCCGGACACAGTCTTGTGGGCGTTGCGAGCAACTTTTGTTCGCCATGCAGGTTTTGTAAGTTCTGTGAATCTCTTCTTGGTTCATGGATGTGTTCTGAGCTGGGAGCCATGGTTTTCGTCGTGTCCGGTCAACTTGGCCTCCACCCATGTTTGATTCGATGGATCAGTTGTCGATCTTCATGTGTTCTAGTTCTACCCTTCCCAACATCCAAGACTCCAAAAGCATTTTAAGGAACCAACCCCCTCCTGTGTTACCATTGACTTCAAACAGTCCCACCAGCGCGCTGACACTACTTTCCCTGTAGGAGGAGTGCCTGGAATTTCTCGACCGAGTGATCATGCAGCATTCGCCTGAGGCAGGGGCGGGCCAAAGTTTTTCACCGACGCCTTGTCTCACAGTTTCGGCTGCGAGCCCCCGCCATACACGTAGGTCATCGTGGCCGAATTCCTGGATGCCTCCGCAGCTCTATGGGCAGCGCGGCGCTGCACGGAATCAGCAGTGCGGCTGGTGGCGTCACTGCGGGGCTCCATGCAGACATTGCTGGAGGAAGCTTTGGTGGGCCACTCGGACCTCAAATGTGGTGAAATTCAAGTTGAGGTTCAGAATCAGGAACGAGAATTGAAATAGAATAGTGTACCTCGGGAGATTAAGAAGACAAGATTGATTTTGGATCCGATAGGTAACGTGGTCTTGATTGGTCATGAAACAGCTTGATGTGCTTGAAAAACCTTACAGAAAGCTGGTGTGGTTTTGAACCAGTAACAAAACTGGCTTGAATGAAACTATTTGACACACAAGATTTAAATTTAGATATAGTATTCTGTCCCAGTTCACTAAACCAGTGTTTCAAACTTTAGTCTGACTCAATGTTTGTATTGATTTTGCAAACAGTTTGCCCAAGTGGCTCTCGTGAGATAGTGCACTCATTCTTGTAGCACTACACTCCTGGAGCTGGAGGAGGTTCAGAGGCATGGAACAGGAACGTGTGTTTTTGCTTCTCTATTCTGTACAGAAATGAAGGTACATCAATGGCAACAAAAATCTTTGCTCAGGGTTGAGTTCTTTTTTGAGCAAGGCACACTCCAGGGTTTGCCTTTTGCAGATATGGGGGACGGACAATTTGTATCAATTTGTTCGTTCAACCTGCAACTCGTCGGTTGCCCTCTAGTACCATGAGAGGGCTTGGGATTTGAGGCATGAATCGTGCTGCGATGCCGGGGTGTGTCTATTTTCCCTTCAACCATCTCATTTTGCTTCGTCGCGAGCTGGACTATTGGAATGTCGACCAGCAAGTTGGAGCCACCGTTTGCCGCATGGCACGTGGCCGGTGTCCGGCATGTCCACATCAGTCGCAGGTGCAGCATCAACCCCTGCAGGTGAAGCTTAAGCCGCTCCAGCTGGAGGTCTAGAAACGACCACGGGACGAAGGGGATGTGATCTGTAGGAGTTTGGCAGACGGGTGTGTCTCAACATCAACCACACCAACATTATCCAATACTTGTCAATATTCATATACAACGGGCAACATGGAAAGCAGATGAACCTCACCCTTTGGTCGGGGGATTCCCTTGTTGTGAGACGGATCCAAATCAACTCTGCACTTAGTTTGCCTTGGGGCCTTACGAGTTTTGGCCTTGAGCCTCCAAAGGGAGGTTTCATTTTTAAAGATCCGTTCCTGAGCAAAGCCCCTGGCAATACACGTGGTGCTTGCTCCGAAACTTAAGTCCTTTGAATCATTCTCAATCGTTGTTTAGCCCTGGAGAAGACCATGGGCCAGACCAGCAGAACGAACAGAAAGAGATGCCTTGGTGCAGGCCTGTGAAATTATGCTGTTTATTGAGTTGTGAGAACACCTGTGGGTCGATGCTTGCATCGGTTGGCTTAATCCGTGACACAAGCAAAAGGATCCAATAAATGCCAAGCTTACTATGTTTTCCTGGTAGTATTATATGTTTTGCAGTATATATTATACACAAGCCAGAATTCAATCGATCAATAGAAATCAAGGATACGTCTTGATATTGCCTCCTGATATACGTTGTTAAAGAGGGCCGCCCCGCCTTCCATTTTCATGGCAGGAACTTCCACTGGCTGGAGTCAGAGGTTCGTCGCCACACCCTGAAGTGCGAAGCCAAGCAGAAGGCACTGCGCGGAGAGGGGGACATGCTGGTGGCATTTTAAGTAGACAGGCGCCCGGAAACGGAGGCCTGCAAGAGGTCTCACACTTGGCTTATATAGCAAGATGAAGATCATCAAGTCAAAAGAGGGCCGCGCCACGACCACTGGGATTGAAAACTTCAGGTAGCCAGGCAAAGAGGCACTGGAACCTTTGTTCTGGTGGGCTCAAAGGTGGAGAAAGGTGGAGAGCCCATTTAGGGAGTTCTCGCATGTTTGGTGTGGAAAGTTTTGTGCCCAGAAGGATCCTCGATTTCAGGCGGTGTGAACCCCTAGAAGTTCACTGACACAGCCCTACAGCTGCAGCTGCTTCAGGTATTCGCCGTTTTTGCAATTTGAGGGTCCTTCCTAACACCTCGCAGGTCGCTCGTGGAGCCTTTTGGGGTATGCGAAGTAGGATCTGGAACATGCTGGACGGAGCTTTGCAGCTCATTCACCATTCAAGTGTTCAAAAGCTTGCTACAGAACGACTTGCTGCAGAACGATTGAACCTAGTCTCCAGATTGGTTTGAGGATCAGAGCGGGTTATGTGCCCTTGCGAGGCTGCCGTGGACCAGAAGCTTCGTTTGGCTGCCAGGCGGCCCTGTTCATTCCACAATAGAGGCAGAGAAACTCATCTCCAGATGGTAAAAAGCAAGAAGTTTGGTATCAGGTCTGGAGACCATCCATGAATGGCAGCTTTTTGGGGTGTTTGTGTAATTTTCTAAAGATTCATTGGCAGTTCCAGCTCGCACCTGTGAACTTGTGCGACTCCCAGTCCAGCATCTGTTGGACACGTCGGGCCGCGGCTTCAAGACCAGCGATAGGCATTCCAGTACCTGTGAAAGTCGCCTTTGGACAGCTGATCTAACGACAAATAGTGATGGAGCTCGGCTTTTGGTGTTTCCCACCAATGTCTGAGTCTACGTTCTTCTTTACACGTCAGACTTGTGCGTCATATGTACCACCCAAAGCCACCAGAGGGCTGAATGGTCCAGCTTTTCTCACCAGTGTCTTGCACTAGTGGGGCCAGATGGGGTGTAGGTCAAAATGCGACAAGCCTGAAAGCCACAAGATGAACCATCTTGCGACAGACAGGGTGATTCTGAGGACTCCTCATGATGACACGTTTCTATTTCTTTGAGGCGATGGATTCATATCATCATATCATTTACGGAACCCTTGATTCATCTCTTTCAGCAGACCTTGTTGCTGGAGATTTCAGCTTTTTAGCTCAAACGCTGAAGAATCGTTTGAGCGGCGGCTGATGTCGTCTTAGGCCTGGGGGCATTTTTTGTGGAGGCTTCATGGGTCTGGGTGTGGTGAGAAAGATCCAGCAGGTTCATTCCGAAGCCACCGTTGTGGGTTGGTAGGTTGAAGAGATCAACACCTAGAAGGGAAGCGTTTTGCGATAGGAGTAATTAAGTGTGGTCCTTTTCGTCATTCAGGAACCGCTTTGTACCGAACGAACATGCTTTCGGGACGGCTTTGTGGTTTCCGAATTCCCCGGCGGGGTAGAAATTGCTCTGGACCTCTATTCATCCAGCGGTTTCGGACATTAGGAACTGGGGATGGGACTCAGTTTGATCCCTCTTGTTCTTAGCTGCGAGGTACCACCACCCCGGCTTATAGGGACATCAGACGGAAGTGAATACACACCCTCCCAAGTGAACAATGTTGGTCATTTCCTATATTCAAGATTCCTTCTGGCTAAAGAGATCTAAAGAGTGTAGCTGCGTCGGAATGACATGAATGAATCAAGCTCCAGTCTTTTTGCTATTGGCCCTGTTGCCAATTTCTTGTTGCCTTTGCGACCTGCACTGCCGGAGGATGCCTGATGGACCATGCAGGGTGGTGAGGTTGATCATGACGGGTGTTCTTCCTCTTCGTCAGGCATGACTAGAAGCTTGTCTGACGGTTCCGGTCGCTCATCATCAGTAAGCATCAACCAGAAACTTCGAACGCGTGGAGATTTTAGCGCAATCTCTTGACAGAAACATGCCTGTTCAACTAGGGGCAATGACGCTACTAGGGGCTCCTGGCCTTACTACTAGGAACAAGAAGCTACTAGGGGCTCCTGGCATCGCTACTAGGAGCAAGCAAGGATGTTACTAGGGGCTCCTGGCATCGCTACTAGGAGCAAGGACGCTACTAGGGTCCAGGAGGATTTGAACGCGCCCAAGATGAGCATTGTGAGTGATGGCTGGGACAGCTTGGGGCTTTTGATCAACTGACCAGAGGAGGTGTCCTTCCTCATTCTCCATCAACGCCTGAACCCAACCACAACACATAGATCAGCCCAAAGATGCATCTCTCTCTCTCTCTATCGATCTATATAATTATCCCTTTCTCTCTCTCTCTCTCTCCAAATCTTCACTGAGGATGGGTCTTGAAGCTGAATCAGTCACTTCTGGACTCTGAGACCGACGACGACTACGGCGCCGGCGGTGATCGCGACAAGGACGGTGCTGACGCAGTCGGCAACGCCGTACCCCAAACGATTCAGGCGTGTGAGATTGCTGAGGGCAGGCCCGCGAGGGAAGGGGGAAGAGACAGTGACGCGACGGCACCAAAAGCTAAGCTATCTGGCAGCTGATGTCAGAATAGATTGGACAAATGCAGGTACAGCACATGAACAAAGACAATCATGTGGGTGCACACACTCCAGCATACCCTGGAAAGTGCTAAAGCTGCTGTTTGATATCTAAACAAAACCAATGCAAGACGTGGTGTTCCAAATCAGGGCCCTTAAACTTAAAGACCCTTTGGCCTTTGGGAAAAGGAACCTCTCTCGTCATGGCAATGTGTTTCAGTGTTTCTTTGCTGTTTTGCTGGGAGAGCTGCTCTCAGGATGGCACCATAGCCAGTCAGTGACACTTTGAGGGGTCCGACCTGAGACCTCACAAGGACACAGAACAATCTCGGATCCAAGTTGACCTCAGGATTGAGCATGTCGCGTTCCAAAAGGCTTAAAACAGGCCCAGTCCACAGGTCATCCTTGTCACTGACCACTGTATGTGTCACTGTGAGTGATGGGAAGTGTGACCCAGCCAGTCAGACGTTGAATTTCGCCCAGTCTCTATGTGGACAACTCGCTTCGAAGCGGCACTGTGGATGAACACGCTGAGGGGACCTGAAACTTGACCAGAGCTGGGGTGAGGGTACGCAGTTCAAAGCCTGATGTTTAATTCATTTGGCAACTCAGGGTACTAAGGGCGAAAACTTTGGAGGAGCCTGCTCGCATACGCTCGTTGGTTTCGTAGAGTAAAGTGTACGCACCCAAAGACAGAGCTAGTTGAGTTGAGGTGACAAAAACCTGCAACAAAACCACCTATCCTGCAACTGGGGAGAATAAGTTGAGGTAACTTTTCGGGTCAGTTGATGGGTGGAGTTCTAGCCCAAAGTTCGGGCAACTTCCGAGGTGGTGATAGAAGTCTTTGTGCAAATAGATGAGCATGGGCTAGCAGGGTCGTGGGCATGATCCACTCGGATCACTAGCTTGGTTTGAGCCAGCAGTCCATGAACCACATATTCATACATATTCTACCTTTATTCTATCATGACTTCACTAGAATTGGTGGTTCTGCAGCGCTCACGCAGGCCAAACGAAACCCAAGAGTGTGACAGTGTCATTTTTTTAGAATTGAATTTTTCTTGGCATGAGGATGATGTAGATTCTCTGATCCGTGTAGACGAAAATCCGAATCTGAGGTAATCCCTGCGTGTTCTTTGTTTCACGCTTTGGGTGTGCCAAAGCTGAGCACTGCCAATACTGCCACTTGCAGCCACACACAGAGGTGCGGCCAACACGCGCATTCTTAAGCAATGTGCTGACAAATTATGGACGTAGACATAGTTGCCCCTCAGAAGGCAACAAGGTTGGTGCTTTGGTTAGTTTGCAAGACAATCATAAAGGGGGTATTAGAGACAACAGTTCTCTCCAGTGTCAAAAGTTTGGAACGATTTCTGAGGTTTTTGACGACTCTTCCTGTGGCAAGAATTACGGTCTAGGACCTAAAATCTTTGGGCTGGAGCTCGCCAGGCAGAGGCCAAGAAGCAGCGACTGCGGCGGGAGAAGCGCGACCGAATCACCGCACGGTTGATGAAGTATCTCGAGTCGGAGCCTGGACCGAAGAGACAGCGTCGATCAGGTTACAAATCGTCGATCAGTTTCGAAGTTTCGACGAAAAGTGCCTGGAAGAGTCCTCGAATTGTAGGTTCTGCAGGTTCGACTAGAGTCGAATAGATGGAATCAGATGGACAGTTGATTGAAGATTGGGATTCGATTATTTACCAAATGGCTGTCTAACCGGCAGCTTTTTGTTCACAAAAGGTCGGGCAGGCAGTAACACTTGCACATCTGCAATTGATGATTGTGCAGTGAGTGGGAGTAGAAGCTCCTCGTCCAGTCTTGGATCGATATTTTGTTGTTTTCGTCGCGTTTCCGAGGAGCCGGCCCAATGGCAAGATGAGTTGCAACAAGAAGCTTATAGGAGTCCATTCGCACGTAGTGTTATTCGACGTCAGCTGGATGAAATTTTTAGATACCAGTGACGCACCATTTCGGGCCCAACGAAACACCCACTATTTTATCCTATTTCAACTGATTTCGTTACAGTTCTTTCAACAAAACATTGGCGCCAGCCATTCTCGCTCGTGAGTGTTGTGTTTTGAAAGCGGCCCCTCCATTGCAGTGACCATTGCAGTGACAAACTCAGCCCCCTTTCTCCAAAAGTGCTCGCTGAGTGAAAGCATTTTTTGAAAAGTCCGCCGGGATTTCCCTGGACGTGAAAACAGAAGCTCAGCTCCCAACCCCTTTGGTTTGGCTATTTGCTGCTCTTGGTCTTGAACAGCTCATGCAATGTAGCTGGAAGTGTTTGGAACCCTCTTCGTCATGGAAATCCGGTGATCCCGAATCCCGCGTTCCAGTTCTCCCAGTTTTGCTACTCTGCTGGAGAGGGATGTCGCTCATGCCATGCGACAAACACTTCTTGTGAAGATGTCATTTCTTGTGAAAGCTGTTTCCCTCTTCAGGGTAAGCTTGTGGTAAACAGCTTTCCGAAGGCTATGCCTATGGCCAGTTGCGCTTTGCTTCATGAGTGTTGCATGGGCAGAGGGTCGCTTTGGGTGGTTTGGTTCAAAGTGCTCTCTGAGAGCGTGCTCCGCCAAAACAGATATTGAATGTGGTTGCATTCTTGACTGGTTTCATAAGTTCATAAAGCTCTTTTCTCTAGAGGGACTGGCCAAGGATTCGACAATGCATATCTTCTTGGTTGTCATGAATTGAAGGACTCGAAGTGAACTTCATGCAGAATTAGGACCGTTCAGGAAAGCAATGCAGAGAATTGATTTGAGAAACAACCTAGCTCAAATCTGTGCACATCATTCTTTTGCGGGTGTGCGAAACAGACAGAAATCATTGCAAAGGACTCAGGACTCTAGTAGTGCGCAGAACAAATTGCTCTTGAGGGGATGTCGGCTATTTATTTCTAGTTTTCCAACAGTCGATCTTCCGTAGGTGTGTAGATGCTAGCTACTAGGAAACAATAAGCTACTAGGAACAAGTGCCTTACTAGTAGTAACAAGTGCCTTATCAGTAGTAACAAGAAGCTATTAGAAACAAGAAGCTGTAGATGGATGTACCAGCTCCCTCGAAACATCACATTTGCGCAGAGAAAAGGGCGACTTCCCTCAAACAGGCCCGGTGAACAGGCCAGGTGTTCCCCGATCCAATCGGAACACTGTTCTTCGTGTTTGAATCTGATCTGGCCAGAGATCTCCACCGAACGATGAGTTTCCCCTCATTTTGCTTGACCAAAAGTGCAGGTATGCTAGCATTTGGTATTGTCTCAGAATGAAGACCTGTAGATACCTGTAGTAGACCTCACATGGATTTGTTCCCCTTTTGACATTTAGACTTTTGGATCAGAGGGTTGATCGTTCGATCTGCAGAGCAGATTTTCAGATCTCCAGCGCCTGGTTGTCATCTCCCCTGTGTTGGTGGGGGCATAATTGGTGCGGTGGGTTCTCCCGCACTTGTGGACGCTTGCAATGCTACATCAGCTTTCGGGGAAGGTAGACGACGTGGTAGATGTGTCCGAACTTGTCGCAGCGATGATCTGGGACCGCACCAGCCAGGTGTTCATGGTCAAAAAGGACCTCCCATGAACAGTTTCAGAGAGGATAAGACACCCTGATCTAAGTAATTAGGAGGGATCACAACGGGAATCAACGAGATTGATTCTGACATTTGCTAGCGTTGGGTGTACATTGGGGTACTTCTTAAACTTAGTGAGTCAACCGAGAGTGTACCCTCCTTGTCGGTTTTGTCGAGTTGCCTTTTGCAGTTTGAGTGGGAGTGCTGGGGGAAACAGAATCGCTCACCAAAAGCTCTAATCTGGCCAGTTCTTCAGAAGTTCTGTTGGACCCTGCTGGAAAGCTGTCCCTGGGCAGTAAGTAGATGTAATCAAGTATCAAGTGGACAAGTTCAGGTCCTCCACTATTCCTGAGCATCACTCAGCAGTGATTCAGACAGTCATGCAGCTCAAGAACGTGAAACAATGGATTATATAACTAAATGAAACAACGAAACACCGGATTAATCCGTGAATGCGAGACCTTGTCTTGTCATTCTGCTAGATCTATTTTGTCTTTTTGGGCGGGATAGGTTTGGCCACAGGAGCACGTCTTGTTACTCGCCGATTCGGCTGTGCGGCAGCGGCACATTTCAAGTCTCATGTGAGACCGTTAATTCTTAAAGTTATGTTTGCAACAATTTGGATGTGGATCCTACAGGGATCCCTAAGTTGCTACACTTGGGGTCCCAGTAAAACTCCGTCTCACATTTGCAGTTTGTTCTGACATCGTGACCCTGTGCTGTCCCTGCCCATCCAGAACCTAGAAAGATAGGCTCCTCGAATAACTGAACCCTCCAGCACATCGAGGGTGCTGGTCAAAGAAAGCGATTAAACCGCCTTCCAACAGCGTGTTTCTACTCACGTGAGACTGTGCATGAAAAAAAACGACTGGCAGCCGACGTTTTGACTGTATCACAAAGTGGTGTCAGTCGACGTCGAGCAAGCTGGATCCTTCGGTTGTCTCAAGACCAGTACACTGGACGAGACCAAGACGCAGGCTGAGAATAGACCAAGTTGCTGGCTTGAGACTGCCCACGTCCGTTCGTTCCAAGTGGCAGGTACCAGACCTGCTCAGTGGTTTGGGCTCAACTTCGTCGGGGACGACCCACCCTACTCTTCGGACGAGCCAGAGACAAGCATTACTTGGACACGTGTTTTGCGATTAACATATTTGGAGTTTCTAGAACGACCAGATGTCACAAGCTGGGACTGAAGGATGTTTGGTGCACGAGACGGCGACTGTGTCCATACAAGGCTGTAAACGTACAATGCCATGTCAACCAAAATGGAGCAAACATATATATATATATATATGTATATAATCCAAAATGACGGGCCATTGAACAGATATCCAAACTGTGTTTGGCACGATATTCAGCCACACAGCACAACCATTTTGCAGCACCGCCTTGATCATGTTCAGCAACTCCCACGACAATGACTCAATCGATTCCTTGCAGCGCGACTTTTTTGGCTGCTTCACTCCAGTCTGCTACCAGGAGCAAGAACGGCTCCTGGCCTTACTACTAGGAGCAACGACGCTATTAGGGGCTCCTGGCCTTACTACCAGGAGCAAGGACGCTATTTAGCGGCTCCTGGCCTCACTACTAGGAGCAAGGACGCTATTGGGGGCTCCTGGCCTTACTACCAGGAGCAAGGACGCTATTAGGGGCTCCTGGCCTTCCTACCAGGAGCAAGGACGCTATTAGTGGCTCCTGGCCTTACTACCAGGACCAAGGACGCTATTGGGGGCTCCTGGCCTCGCTACTAGGAGCAAGGACGCTATTAGGGGCTCCTGGCCTTACTACCAGGAGCAAGGACGCTATTAGCGGCTCCTGGCCTCACTACTAGGAGCAAGGACGCTATTGGGGG